AAAATGAACTCAGACCTCTGCCTAATGTCAACCACAAACGTCAGATCAAAATGTATTAAAGACCTCAATATCAGGCCTGAATTCTCAAGGTACATGGAGGGAAATGTAGGCAGAATCCCCCATGACACTGAAGCTCAAGGCATCTTCAAGGATGAAACACCACTGACCAAGCAAGTGGAAACAAAGATAAACAAATGGGATTACATTAAGAAGCTTCTATACCCCAAAAGAAACAGTGACCAAAATACAGAGAGAGCCCACGGAATGAGAAAATAATTTACCCAATATTTATCAGAAAGGAACTTAATATACAGTATATACAAGACACTGATAGAACTTTACAAGAAAAAACCTCCAACCCCATCAAAAAATGGGGAGAAGAGACGAACAGAAGCTTCCTCAAAAAAAGAAATACAAATGGCCAACAGGCACATAAAAAAATGTTCTACAAGGCTAATCATCAGGAAGATGCAAATAAAGACAACAATGAGATATCATCTCACACCACAGAAAGTGGCACCCATTATAAAGAACAAGAACAACCAGTGCTGCTGCAAATTCAGGGAAAAAGGGACTCTTTCATTGTTGGTGGGAATGCCAACAGGTCCAGCTTTTTTAGAAAACAATATGGACATTCCTTCAAAAACTAGAAATTAAGCTTCCATATGACCCAGCAATACCACTTCTGGAAATATATCCCGGTGTTGCAAAAAAGCACAGTAGAAATGACTTCCGCACTTGTATATTTATTGCATCTCTGTTCACAATAGTCAGAATCTGGAAACAATCCGAGTGCTCGAGAACTTTAATGACTGGTTAAATAAACTTTGATGCAGGGGCTAGAGCGATAGCACAGCAGGTAGGGCGTTTGCCTTGCACACAGTCAACCTGGGTTCGATTCCCAGCATCCCATATGGTCCCCTGAGCACCGCCAGGAGTAATTCCTGAGTGCAGAGCAAGAAGTAACCCCTGTGTATTGCCAGCTGTGACCCAAAAAAAAAGCAAAAAAAAAAAAAAAGGAACTTTGATGCATCTACACAATGGAATAGTATGCAGCTGTTAGAAAAGATGAAGTCATGAAATTTGTTTATAAGTGGATGGTCATGGAGAGTATCACACTAAGTAAAATGAGTCAGAAAGAGAGGGACAGACATAGAATGCCTGCACTCATTTGTGGAATATAAAATAACGTGATATGAGACTAACACCTAAAGACAGTAGTTCACAATATTTGACTACATTTATATTCAAACACAAATCCCACTACTATTACACCTTCCCACCACCATATTTTGGGTGTTTCCATGCCGAACCCCAATCCTTGCCCCAAAGCAACACTGAACTAATATATTTCCCTCTAAGGTTGGTTGCCTTCTACTTTGAATCCCATCAAATGTAGTGCAGTACTCTTGGACTATGGGTAGAGTGTGTCCTATGAATTGTTGCGTGGCTGCAAAGGCAGCCATATGATACAGGGAAAGTTTCATTCGTGGATGAGGCTCTGCCCGAGTACATGGAGAGCGGCCGTGAGCAGGGTGGTGGTTGGATTTTGGAGATTTTTGGCTGCTGGGACTGGGTCCCTTGGGATGGGGAGGGGTCTCACCCGGCCAATCTGGGGCTCCCCGAGTGAAACAGTCTGATGCGGGGTCCAGTGGCATGATTATGGCGAGCATCATGCCGCTCCCTTTCAGGAGAGAAGGACACGTGATCTGGATGGTGGTCGATGATGAGATTATCTGGCACCAACCAGGGGTGGCTTATAGGTGTGACTGCTGAGTTTCCAGAGAAAGGGGGAGGATTTCCGTTCCCAGTCCCGTTGAGCCCCGAGTTCTCAGCCACAGAGTCCACAGAGTCTGATTTTCTGGGGTTTCACTCATGGGAAGGCTTAGTCGTGAAATCTTTGTTACTGTATCTCACAGTGATTCAGTAAAAATAAATAAATAAAATGCTTAAGATCTTCAGGATGAATATCAGCAGAGGAAAATAAACCCTCACTAATGAATAAGCCTAAAGATGAATAAAAGAAAAATAGGAAATGACTGCATGGTTAAAAAGGAAAAATGGGCTAGAGGACTGGTACAGTGGGAAAGCTGTAGTTCCAGAATACTGCTGGGTTTATCATGCCCCCATAAAAAAGAAAAGATTCTCTTTGAAGCAACAAAGCAAACTTTGAAGCAAGTTTTTCTGAATCAAGGAAAACTGCTTTTGAAAATGCTCTAAAACAGAATTCCAAGATGACCTTGGTTTTCTTTCATGATAAAGAATATTATTGGGGGAAATGGATAAAATTTTAGTAAGAGCTGTAAACGGTTGAAAATCACATTGTCTCATTCATTTCTTGAGTGTATGGTGCTGTGGTTATTTAAGTGAATTATTAGTGTTCAAGAAATATATATGGAAGTATTTTGGAGAGCCCAGCAAGCTACCGAGAGTATTCGATATGCCAGACACAGTAACAACAAAGTCTCCAATGGAGACGTTACTGGGCCCGCTCGAGCAAATTGATGATCAACGGGAGGGCCTTTACCTTTACCTTTACCTTATTTTGGAGGCAAATGAACATTTTGTTTAGAACACACTGTTGTGATTCTCGGGGTTAGCCTTTTGCGGGGCAAGATGTAGAATATTTAAATAGTCACAGATGATTTTCTTGGAAGGAAAACGTTTTCAAGAACTGTTTTCAAGAACTTTGTAGAAAATAGTTTAGCTGAAAATGCATAATTCAAAGGTGCTAGAGTTTTCTAATTTAAAAGTATAATGGCTGGAGTGGTAGCACAGGGCTGGAGCGATAGCACAGAGGGTAGGGCATTTGCCTTGCACGCAGCCAACCCAGGTTCGATTCCTCCATCCCATTCGGAGAGCCCGGCAAGCTACCGAGAGTATCCCGCCCACACAGCAGAGCCTGGCAAGCTCCCCATGGCGTATTCAGTATGCCAAAAACAGTAACAACAAGTCTCACTTTGTGTTCCTGGAGCGAGCAGACGCCATTGGGCTACACTAGTACATGACAGGGATGAATGGAGACATAACTGGTGTCCGCTCGAGAAATCGATGAACAACGGGACGATGGTGCTACAGTGCAATGGATGGTTTGACGGGGCTAGTGAAATTTTTATATTGTCTGGCAAAGTGACTGAAATGTCTTTTTAGAAAGAAATAGGTGGAGCAGAGCTACAGATCTGGGAGAGCCTAAAGCCTGTCTGTCTGTTGAATGACTTCTATTCACCTACCAGAAAATGAGTAGATGAGCCAAGATGTGGAAGCCCTTGAGCATCAAACCAGAAACTGTAGAACATTCTCTTTGGCAATGAGAGACTGAAACTTTTTTGAAGGTGTTGAGGGATAGACTTATGCCAAAGACGTCCTACCAGAGAGAGTTCCAACACTTTGGCTTCATAGTCTGAGATTTGATCTTTCTCAAGGCTTTATCTTGTAGCCCAGGGGCTGCTGCCACCCAACGGGGTGGGCTGTTGGAACTGAGGGCAGTTACTCACACGGAAGAAGCAGAATAGAGGCAGAAAAGCAAACAGATGTTTACAGTGAATTTTCCCCCCTGACTTTTCCTAAGTTTCACATAGAAAATTAAAATTAATGTTTGCAATGATCAGAAACACAAACTGTTTCTCTCATTGATCAAAAGAGATTCGATGGGGACTGGAGCAATAGCACAGCGGGTAGGACATTTGCCTTGCATGCAGCCGACCCAGGTTCGATTCCTAGCATCCCGTATGGTCCCCTGAACACTGCCAGGAGTGATTCCTGAGTGCAGAGCCAGGAGTAACCCCTGTGCAACGCCAGGTGTGCCCCAAAAAGCAAAAAAAAAAAAAAAGCAAAAGAGATTCGATTTGGGGACAGGCCCACACCCAGCAATGGTCAGGCACTAATTCTGGCTCTATGGTCAGCAGTGAGCCCTACTGACTCAGGGAACCATAGGTGGTGGCAGGGATTGAAACCAGAGTCAGTGGGATACAAGGCAAATGCCATAACCCCTGTGGTACCTCTCTGGTTTGGGTTAGAGTTGTCTTAACAAAGCTAAATATTCCTTTTCTGACGGTCCAGCTTGAAAGAAAGAACTATCGTTATCTTGTAGCACCATAATGAAGACAAGTTCAATACCTGACATTTTGCTATCAGATGTTCCAAATTCCAATCCCACTGGGAACAGAATCTGAGCCTAAGGCAATAGATAAACCCGATGATCAATTCCCATAAAGATAATTAGCTTCCTAGATCAGAAAGACTGGTTTCCACACCACTTTTAAATTGGGTTGTTAGGGTCCAGCGAATAAGGTACTTGCCTTAAACATGTCCTACCTGGGTTCAATCCCCAGCATTTCATATGGTCCCCCAAGCACCACCAGGAGAAATATCTGAATGCAGAGTCATAAATAACTCCTGAGCACCATCAGGTAAGACCAAAATCCAAAAGCAAATAAAATAAATTGCGTGAAGCACAAGACCCCACTTCCGCGGCCAGTTCCACAGAGTGAACATTCTTTCCATCACACATTCAAGCAAGAAGAAGGAGGAGGAGGAGGAGGAGGAGGAGACGATGATGATGATGATGATGATGATGATGATGATGATGATGATGATGATGACAACGATGACAGTCTGTAGTACTGTCCTCCTGTTGTTCATCGATTTGCTCAAGTGGGCCCAGTAACGTCTCCATCATGAGACTTGTTGTTACTGTGTTTGGCATATTGAATACATCACAGGTAGCTTGCCAGGCTTTGTCACAGGTAGCTTGCCAGGCTTTGCCATGCGGGCGAGATACTCTCTGTAGCTTGCCAGGCTCTCCAAGAGGGGCGGAGGAATTGAGCCCGGCCGGCCGCGCGCAAGGGAAATGCCCTACGGCTGTGCTCTCATCAGATGAGATATAGATGTGTGTCAACTGTCACTGGTCACATTGTCAAGAGCCTGTAGAGGGAGCCTTATCTGCAGAATTTTGCTCAATGCTAGAGGGCGAAAACTCAAAACTTTCTCCTCCATTGCAGATCTATGTGGACGAAGTTCCCTTGCCATTCCCTGGACACACTCTGATTGCCGTCGCTGCTGCCGTCCTGCTGGGGGGCCTAATCATTATAGCATTCATGCTGCAAATCTGCAACATCCACCCCTGTGACTTAGTCCAGAAGTTGATCCAAAAGCGTGGCATCTACCATCCCAAATTTCATGGCAAAAATGCTCATAAATGAAGACCTGAATTGTGGGAAAGGGTAGTCCTGAGCTCCTCTTTATTTCCTAGATTTACTAAGGCAATTCTTGGTACATCTACTTGGATGTTTTTATAAAAGATCCATGTACTATAGAATGACCATTAAAATGCAAACTTGCTCTTTATCCGTATGTTGATGGGTCTATTCACTTACTCCAAACCCATGGAAACTGCTTTAGATCAGCATTTACATAAAGGATTTTCCTTGAAACTTTTCAGAAGATAGCACCGTAGCACTGTCCTCCCATTGTCCATTGATTTGCTCAAGTGGGTACCAGTAAAGCCTCCATTATGAGACTTGCTGTTACTGTTTTTGGCATATCAAATATGCCACGGGGAGCTTGCCAGGTGAGATACTCTAGGTAGCTTGCCAGGCTCTCCAGGAGGGACGGAGGAATCAAATCTGGGCTGGCCACATGCAAGGCAAACGCCCTACCCACTGTGCTATCGCTCCAGCCCTTCAGAAGTAATAAAAGGATTACTATTTTCTCTGCCCAGTCTGGAAGAGCTGAAGCCTTGCAACGTCATTGGTTGTTGGCTTACAGAAGAGAGTAGAATGAGTTCACGCTCCAGAAAGATGGATGGAAAAGGATCCACCCCACCATGCTTCGGAACCTCCTAGGAATTAAAGATTCAACTAACTATGGCGGGGGAAGGGGGTGTTTCTCTGGCAACTTCAAAACCAAACTGTAGCTTAAGTGGCAGGGCACATATTTTGCATGTGTGAGACCCTGGTCTGATCTCTGGCCCCAGGAGGTCTCTGAGCATTATGGCTTTGGCCGCCCAGCACTGCCACAAAAAAACAAAAACTATGCCTAATTAGGCATAATTAATTATGCCTAATTAGGCATAATTAATTATGCCTAATCGCTGGAGTGACAGCACAGAGGGAAGGGTATTTGTCTTGCATGCGGCCGACCGGGTTTGATTCCTTTGTCTCTCTCAGAGAGCCTGGCAAGCTACTGAGAGTATCCCACCCTCACAGCAGAGCCTGGCAAGCTCCCCATGGTGTATTTGATATGCCAAAAACAGTAACAAGTCTCACAATGAAGATGTTACTGGTGCCCACTCGAGCAAATCGATAAACAAGGGGAGGACAGTGCTACAGTGCTAGGCCTAATTGTTGGATATCGTGACCCCTCCTAGGGATGTTGGAAGAACTTAGCCTGTGGTGGAGATTCTGGTTTGCAAGCCACCTAGTGTTTTATCCCCAAAAACTTGTGTTTCATTCCTAAAGGTGTACTATGTTCAGGGACCTGTTCCCCAGTGCCTGCAGGAAATGGAGAGGTGCTGGGGAGGAGAGCTCCTGCTCTCACGTCTTAGAAAGGCGAGGATCTCTCCTGAAGAGCCAGTGCAGAACTGTAAACACCTGGGGTCTGTGCAGCTAGCGGGGAAGTATGGCTCAGAAGTCAGGGGGCAAGGTAGCTACCAGACCCAGACGCGGGGCCAGACCTCCCGGGTTTGCCCTGACCTGAATATGTGACCTTGGAAAGTGCCTTCTCTGTGTCTGAGTTTCATCACCTGAAAGTAGAGAGAATAGTAGAAGATACCAAGATAATGATGGGGGAAGGCAACTCTCTGTGAGAGCACGTGGTATTGGGCCACTGAATGCATGAGGCCCTCTCATGAACAGCGTTGTAGATTACAGTGTCTCAAGGTAGAAAAACAAATTTTTCCAAAGGACCATTGGAGGGGGGCTGGAGCGATAGCACAGCAGGTAGGGCATGTGCCTTGCACACTGCTGACCTGGGTTCGATTCCCAGCATCCCATATGGTCGTCCAAGCACCGCCAGGAGTAATTTCTGGGTTCAGAGCCAGGAGTAACCCAGGCGTGATCCAAAAAGAAAAAAAAGAAAAAAATATATCATTGGAGGACAGAATGCAGAGGTTAAGATGCTTGCCTTGCCCACAGTCAGTCTGGGTTGGAATCTGCCACAACATATGTCTCCTAGGCACTGCCATGGGTGACTCCTGAGCACAAGCCAGGAATAACCCCTGAGTACCACCAGATGTGGCCCAAAATACAAAATAATAATAATTATAATTATGCCGCCTACCTAAAGGGTGATTGGATTACAATGTATTTGGAAAGCACTTAGAACAGAGCTTGGCTTCAGGTATGCTCTATTAATTATTGGTAGATTTCAAGTCATAGAGATCAAATTGTAAGAAAAAGGAGTGTTCATTGGAAGGGTCACTATCACCGTCACTGTCCTCCCGTTGTTCATCAATTTGCTCGAGCGGGCCCAGTAACATTGTAAGACTTGTTACTGTGTCTGGCATATCGAATACATCATGGGGAGCCTGCCAGGCTTTGCCGTGTGGGCAAGATACTCTCGGTAGCTTGCTGGGCTCTCCGAGAGGAGCGGAGGACTCGAACTCGGGTCGGCCATGTTGGCTGTGTGCAAGGCAAACGCCCTATCTGCTGTGCTATCACCTCCAGCCCAAATAAATAAATAAAAATAATAAAATATTTTGTTAACTTGGGTGTAAATCTACTGGTGGAGGACTCACTTGGCTTCCACTTTATAAAATCCTTTATGTTCATTTAACTTTTCCCAAAGTGCTATTTGTAGGGCGTTTGGGCCTCCCAAGGCCACCCCAGGCAGTACTTATCTGCCTCTGAGCTTTCATAGGCAATCTGGTGTTGTTATGCCAAGCAGTGAGGAGGAAATCCAGGACATGGTACATACAAGACCACCAGGGCATCATATATAGAGGACAAGAGTGTTGGAGTGGGGCTTATAGGTCTGGGTGTAGAATATGAGGCCTCCCCCATGTTGTGAAGTGTTCTTCTGCCACTTCAACTCTTCTATTGAGTAAATTTTACTTTGTTTTGTTTTTGCTTATGATTAACTCACGCCTGGCAGTGCTCAGGACTTACTCCTGGCTCAGCGATCAGGGGTTATTCCTCAGGGGTGCTTAGGGAACCATAGAGGGTTCCAGGGACTGAACTGGGATGACTGCATGCCAAGTAAGCACCTTAACCTCTATACTGTCATTCAGGCTCACTTAGTAAATTTTTGAAGTCACCATATTTTAAAGTTCACTTTCCCAACATTCTCAGATTTCACATTTGCTTACATGAACCCATTTGGATCTCAGAATGAAAGAACTGCTTTGCCTAGGTGTGAGTTTCAAAGAAAAAGCAAGGATTCACAGTACTCTAGCTCTCGGTGGCCAAGAACCATTCCCCAGATGGGTCCACAGTGACAGACGAAGGACCAGGGGAATAGAGACCAGGACCACAGGCTGGTCAGAAGTCAGTTCATTTCTCTCTCCTTCCCAGCATAATCCGATCTCTCCCCTTACAGTAGAATTGTAGTGGTAGTTTTGGTTGTACTCCCAGCCATCATAGTTCCATCATCCTTGTCCCCATCATGGTCCTCATCTAGTCCCACTAGAAAGTCAAACTTTTTGGTTTTCTCTTTCTAGTCTTTGTCATCATCCAATCCCTCTTACCCCTTCAGCATAGTTACATAGAAATCATGAAGGGTGGAGGGGACATGTAGGTGGGATTGAACATTGTCATAACAACAGACAGACGTAAAGCCACTCCTTCAGGAGAAGTTTTTAAGGATTAACTCAAGGACAAAATCTCATCAGAGGGCTAGCACTCTAGATGACTAGTATATCTGCTCAAGGGCAGGATTCCATCCAGGGTGTATTGCTTTCTCCTTTCCTCAGCTAGTAATTCATTTAAACAATCACAGTAAATTTACTTCTTATAACATTCCTAGTCATTTTGTATGAACACAGTAAGAGATATATTAAGCTTAAAGGTTGGCTCTTCCTGGGGACATCTCACTGTATATTCCAGAACACAGTCCTCATGCCCGGTTGGTCTTTCCTAACCCCAGAAGGGTCCTTCTTCAGCTACTTCTTTCTAGGTCATGACACTTTGTCCCATGACCATGCTCTTAACTTATTATACTTATGCTGTTTAGCTTGTCCCCTTTAAATGCCAGGGTAGCTTACAGCTTGCCCTCGGTCCATCCAGTCCCTGCTATTGGAGTGCTAGGAACTAAGGGAAACTGAGGCTTAAATAAAGTAAATATGATGGATGCCCAGGAGTAAATATTACTTTGGAGTCAAATAACTCCCATGTTACAAAGCATAGCATTAACTGTCTTCCTGTGTCTATACAAGAGGGACATTGCTAAACCATGCAAGTGATATAAAGAAAAGAGAAAAGCAATATAGGATTATTAGTGCTTGATGGAATTCGGCGTGCCTCCAGGGCACTGTTGTGGGAGTAACTCAATAAACCTAATCTCCCTGTGGGAGGAGCAAAGACAACCCAATGTTCTCCAAGACCTAGGGAAGGAGAGATAAGTCTTTTGGTGGATAGACAGCACCTGCACTTGCCTTTGTGTGTGAGTCTGATTTTTTTTAATCCAATTTCACCAATAGACATTTTTAATCCTAAGGCTGGTCTGAATATTTGATCTCTCAGGAAGGGTCTCTAGGGAAATGCCATGGAGGGGGCCAGGGAGGGTCTCAGAAGAGTCTTGCCTGGTGTCTTAGGGAGACTGAGAAGAGGCTGCAGTGTAGGACTCCATCATCCTTCCAGACTCTTCTAAGACACAGCTTTTCCTGGGACCATGGACCACTCACACCATCACTCCGGGATGAGTGCCATGGGACACCCCCGCACCCCGGCCCCTCCTCCCCAGCCTCCAGCCACCTCGGGGGCCCCACTCCCATGGCAGCAGCGCACACACGTCCGTGACGATGCCCATGACCTTCTACTTCGGCTACAGGAACGTAAAGCTGCTGTTCTCGGGGCTGCTGATCGACTCAGCGGTGGTCATGGCTGTGGCTGCCGTGACCGTGTTTCTGCTGGCCCTGGGCTATGAGGGGCTCAAGAGAGCCCGTGTAGGGCTCCGCGCCCAGTGCTCGCCTTTCCCCAGACCCGACGGAGCCCGCCCCCAGGAGACGCTCCAGCCACAGCTGCTGAGCACCGCTCACCTCCTGCAGACGACTCTGCACGTGCTCCAGGTGGGCCTGAGCTACCTGCTGATGCTGACCACCATGACCTACAATGCCTACCTCAGCCTGGCGCTGGTGGCTCGGGCAGGCACCGGCTACTGGCTCTTAGCTGCGACCTTCCATAGCCTCCTTGGCAGGGAGCACTCAGTGCTGCATCTTCCACTACCAGTACCCTGCCACCGAGGAAAAAGGGGTGCCTTTATGAAACTCCCCTCCCCCACTTCCATCTCCCCCACTCCTGCAGGACTCTCTTCTCACTGTCACTCAAAGCACAGGGAGCCAGTAGCCTCGGAGAGCAATAGTACTGCTGCTCTGAGAAGGACCAAGGATTTGCCTTCAGGAAAGTGTCAACCAGTGTGCAGTTGACCCTAGCATAGGAAAGAGTTTTTCTCAATTTCTAGCCATTAAGAGATTTGGGAGGGGAGGGGGTAACAGGGCACACAGCAGTGCTCTGTGCTCAGGAATCATGGCTAGCAGGTCTCAAATGGCCACATAGGGTGCGAAGGATTTAGCCTGGCACAGCCTCGTACAAGGCCAGTACCTTACCTGCTGTACTATCTCTCTGGTCCCATCTAGCCTTTGAGCTTTTAAAAAAGAGCTGGGGCTGGAGAGATAGCACAGTGGGTAGGGCGTTTGCCTTGCAAGCAGCCAACCCGGGTTCGATTCCCAGCATCCCATATGGTCCCCTGAGCACCGCCAGGAGTAACTCCTGAGTGCAGAGCCAGGAGTAACCCCTGTGCATCGCCGGGTGTGACCCAAAAAGCAAAATTAATTAATTAATTAATTAATTAATTAAAATCCAGAGCAACAGCATTGTGGGTAGGGTGTTTGCCTTGCATGAGGTCAACCTAGGTTCCTGGCACCCCCATATAGTCCCCCTGGAGTCTGCCAGCAGTGATCTCTGAGTGCAGAGCCAGAGTAAGGCCTGAGCATAGCCGATGTGACCCAAAATTCAAAAAATATATAAATAAATTAAAAATTGAATTTATTTTAAATATTGAACTTGAGCAATAGTACAGTGAGTCAGGTACATGGCTGCCCTGAGTTCAGTCCCTAGCACACCATATGGTCCCCCCCAGCCCCGCCAGAAATGACCCCTAAGTGCAGAGCCAGGAGTAAGCCCTGAGTACTGCTGAGTGTGTCCCCTCCCAACCCCCCGCCCCCTGCAAAAAAATCCAAGTTTGTTCTCTGACGAAGGATCTAGTAGGGTGGGTCTCTGAGAAGATCTCAAAGGAGGGTGTCAGGGAAGGGGTAGAGAGGGGATTATAGAGGATCATGGAGGGTCAGGAAGGATCAGGGAGGGTCGGTGAGGGTCTGGGAGGGTCAGGGAGGGTCTCCTCCCAGTGTACATAAGAGGCAGGGCTCCAAGGAGCCTTACCTTGGTGTCTGCCAGAGACTCTGAGAAGAGGCTGCAGTGCAGGACTCCAGTGTCCTTCCAGAACCTTCTGCAACATGGCTTTTCCTGGAACCATGGACCACTCGCACCATCACTCCGGGATGAGCGCCATGGGACACCCCAGCATCCCGGCTCCTCCTCAGCAGCCACTGGCCACCTCGGGGCCCCACTCCCACGGCGGCAGCGCACACATGTCCATGACGATGCCCATGACCTTCTACTTCGGCTACAAGAACGTGGAACTACTGTTCTCCGGGCTGCTGATCAACTCCGTTGTGGCCATGGCCTTGGCTGTCGTGGCCGTGTTTCTGCTGGCCCTGGGCTACGAGGGACTCAAGAGAGCCCGCGAGGGGCTCCGTGCCCAGTGCTCGCCTTTCCCCAGACCTGACGGAGCCCGCCCCAAGGAGACGCCCCGGCCGCAGCTGCTGAGCGTCGCTTACCTCCTGCAGACGGTGATGCACGTGCTCCAGGTGGTCCTGAGCTACCTGCTGATGCTGATCGCCATGACCTACAACGCCTACCTGGGCCTGGCAGTGGTGGTGGGGGCCGGCGCTGGCTACTGGCTCTTTGGCGGGAAGAAGGCGCAGGACGTGGAGTCCAGGAACTTTCACAGGAACCAGGCTCCCCTCCCTGACACCTGCCCTGTGCCTGCATGGGACCAGCCACACCAGAACCTTGATGAGAACGTGGTCGAGGTCACCAGGTTCCACATGGACTATTCCAGCACAGACAGCTGGAGCTCAGACGTGGATAGCAGTATTGATTCTTGGTAGATTTCTGGATGGCGACTGCCCTGAATGTTTCCTATGGAACTGAAATAATTTGCTTGTCTTGAACCGAACCCCTGGGTCTCCCTACCCCCCTGGGTCTCCCACAGTATTCTATTGTCTAGATAACCAGTCATCTATTCCGGGAAGTTGGGGTTTTTTGGTTTTGGTTTTTGTTTTTGTTTTTTTCTTCTTCTTCAGATTCTGGCTATTGTGAACAATGCTGCAATAAACAAAAAAAGTGCAGATGGCATCTCTGCTGTGTGTTTTTGTGCCCCCAGGTATATAATTCCCAGAAGTGGTCTTGCTGGGTCATTTGGAAGCTCAATTTCTAGTTTTTTGAGGAATCCCCATATGCTCACCAAAAAGGCTGGACCAGTCAGGCATTCCCACCAACAATGAAGGAGAGTCCCTTTCTCCCTTCACACCAGCACTGGTTGCTCTTGTTCTAGGAGTCAGATTCTGATCATGTTCACACACTATTAAAGGACTTTGCTTGTCACCTATTTTACTTTAGTAAAATAAGTTCCCTGTGCCTTAACCTTCCTGCAGAACAACTGTCAGGTGTGGAAGGAGGCAGTTCCCACATCACTGCAGTGCAGAGATGCCAGCAGCCATAAGTAAGAGGTCGAGACAGAAGAGAACGTGTCCAGGCCCTCCATTGGTTTGAGAGCAGAGGGCATTCAAGCACAGAGTGGCTGCAACACCAGCTTGACTCAGAAAATGGATATGTATACATTTTGTCATTTGGGCCTGGTTTGGAGGCCATATCCCTGGTGCTCAGGGCTTACTCCTGACAAGCTCTGTCCTGTTAGGCCTCTCTGGTGCCTGGACATATATATTCTCACTATAATGGTTTACATAAAGACTTCGAGAGATGGCGTATAAGAGTTCAGAGGATAAGGCACCTGCCTTGCATGCAGCCAATCCTAGCTCAATCCTGAGCACCACATGATCCAGCGAGGATGGTCTGTTAGAGTCCTGGAAGCCCTCAAGCATGGCCCTAGAGGCCCACTAGAGGTATCAGGATGGTCTGAGTAATCCTTGAACCCAAGGGCACCTGAGGACCTGAGCAGCATCGTCAGGCATGGAACTGCCATTTCTGTTGGCTGGGAATCCCGCAAGGAGGCCCCTGGCCTCCTGGGTATAGCTTAGGAAGCTGAAAAAGCAACAAAGAAAACACCAAAGACTATATCATAGAGAATATAAAGTGTGGTTTATTAATATAAACTCTTAGTAAAACAAAGCTCTCAAGAAAATGGCTTCTTGGGGGCTGGAGAGGTAGCACAGCGGGTAGGGCATTTGCCTTGTACGTGGCCGACCCGGGTTCAATGCCCAGCATCCCATATGGTCCCTTGAGCACCGACAGGAGTAACTCCTGTGCATTGCCAGGTGTGACCCAAAAAAGAAAAAAAATGGCTTCTTTAGAAGGCATATATTCATTACTTGAAGAAAAGTTATAAACTTTCAATAAATTCTATTTATTTACCTATTTATTATCTACTTATTATGCCCAAATTCTAGCGTCCTCTTTTCTCTCCTGGCTCATAGGACCATACAGTATGCAAGGGATTGAACTTGGGTCCGCCATGTACAAGGAAAGTACTCTCTACCTGTTCTACCCAAGTCCCAAGCTTCCTCTTTTCTGCTCCTGCTTCAAGACTCTCCAGTGAGTCCTAATCCTCTCAGGAAGAGCAGCTCAGTCCCACACTGATCGTGTGATTATCTGGTTTTTTTTTTTCCTTTATTCACTTTTTCCCCTTAATCACGCTTACTAGATATTGTTAGGCTAGCAAATTAACTGTAAAATGCCAAAATCTTTTTTAGCATAAGACCAACTGGTATAAAATAATATATTAAAGGGGAAAAAAGACAACTGTCTTGCATGAGGCCTACCTGATTTCAGTGCCCGGAATTACAGTATGGTCCCTTATGTACACCAGAGAATGATCCCTGAGCACAGAGCAAGGAATAAATCCTGAGCACAGCCAGGTGTGATCTAAAAAAACAAATAAATAAATAAGCACAAAATTATCCCATGAAACAAACTATTACAAAAGAATTTGGAAGTATGATAAGCTTAAAAAAGAATCCTGGAGACAGAGAACGTGGAGCATGTGGCCAACCCAGACTCAATCTCCATCATCCCTATGGTCCCCTGAACACCACCAGCACAGAGCACAGAGTCAAGAGTAATCCCTGAGGACCACTGGGTGTGACCCAAAGAACAAGTAAGAATACCAATAACTTTACAAATAAATTTAATTTTTCTTAGGAACCAGAGTAATATAGTACAGCAGGTAGGGCACTTGCCTTGTATGTGGCCCGACCTGGATTCAAACCCTGGCATCCCATATGGTCCCCTGACCCTGCCAGGAGTGATCCCTGAGTACAGATCTAGAAGTAAGTCCTGAGCTGTTGGGTTTTCCTTCCCCAGAAAAAAAAAAAAATTAAAGTCCTCTTCAGAAGTTACAATATTTTTAGAGAAATTTTCTGGGGACTTTTTCTTAAGTATTATGTCTTCAAATATACAGCAAACTTTCAAATTAAATATTTAAAATGTTATATGTTCAAAGAGTAGCCAAGCAAAAATTTCTGCCTTCCAGTATAGGCTAAAAGTCCAATTTAAGAATACATTGGTTGGGGCTGGAGTGATAGCACAGCGAGTAGAGCGTTTGCCTTGCACGCGGTCGACCTGGGTTCGATTCCCAACATCCCATATGGTCCCCTGAGCACCGCCAGGGGTAATTCCTCAGTGCAGAGCCAGGAGTAACCCCTGTGCATCGCTAGGTGTGACCCAAAAAGCAAAAAAAAAAAAAAAATAAGAATACATTGGTTGATTTATCTCATGGATTTCTTTATTTAAATCTATGGGATAATATTTGCATAATAAGATTATGTGAATTTGAATGCTAAATGACATCTCAACACTTAACAAATTGTACTTACAAAATGGTGTTAATTAAAGCAGGATTCTATTAGGTCTTGCTATCTAATGTTTATTACTCAATTTGTAGTAAATCGATCAATATTCTGCTTGATTTTATGGTTTATAAATGTCAGGAGTAAAAGGTAAAGGCCCTCCCATTGTTCATCGATTTGCTCGAGCAGGCCCAGTAACGTCTCCATTGGAGATTTTGTTGTTACTGTGTTTGGCATATCGAATACATCACGGGGAGCTTGCCAGGCTCTGCCGTGTGCGCGAGATACTCTCGGTAGCTTGCTGGGCTCTCCGAGAGAGGCGGAGGAATCGAACTCGGGTCGGCCATGTTGCCTGCATGCAAGGCAAACGCCCTACCGCTGTGCTATCACTCCAGCCCAAACACAGTAACAACAAAATCTCCAATGGAGACGTTACTGGGCCCACTCGAGCAAATCGATGAACAACGGGAGGGCCTTTTTTTGGGCTGGAGCAAAAAAAGCACCACCAGGTATGGCACAACCTCCAATCTTCTCTAATGTTAAACTTTCTCCTCTTCACTTGTGCCTTTTCCCCCAGTTTAAAGTTCAATAGATTTTGCTTTGGTGCATAAGGTCATCACTGGAATGCTCTGTACTAACAACAGTCTTGAATCAGAAAGGCAGCTATTATACTAAACTTTGCTACTTTCTTCCCAGTGATGCTCAGGGGTTCCTCCTGACTTTGCACTCAGAAGCGATAGCACAGCGGGTAGGCCTTGCATGCGGCCGACCCGGGCTCGATTTTCCTCCATCCCTCTCGGAGAGCCCAGCAAGCTACCGAGAGTATCCCGCCCACACGGCAGAGCCTGGCAAGCTACCCGTGGCGTATTCAAAATATGCCAAAAACAGTAACAACAAGTCTCATGATGGAGATGTTACTGATGCCTGCTCGAGCAAATCGATGAACAACGGGAAGACAGTGCTGGACAGGGCTATTTTCTTCCCAGATCATCCACTTCTTTGTTTTAAGTGTGTGTGTGTGTGTGTGTGTGTGTGTGTGTGTGTGTGTGTGTGTGTGTGTTTTGGGGCCACACCCAGTGGTGCTCAGGGTTTACTCCTAGTGGGGACCCATATGGGATACCTGGGACTGAACCCAGGTCAGCTTCATACAAGGCAGATGCTGGTTCAATCCCCAACACTACACAGTACCCAGAGCACCCCTGAAAGCGCCCCCTAAACATAAAGCCAGAGTAGGCCATGAGCATTCTGGATGTGGTCCAAACCCTCCCTCCCCAAAATACAAAGCAAACCCCCAAAATTCAGGCATCACAACTCTCTGTTTAAAAATCTCTTGATGGGACCCAGGAAATGTGGCTCACAGGCTTCAATGTGAGGCCCTGGCTTCAATCTGTGGCACCACTGGGGCTAACAACAGCCAAAAGAATATACCTTTGTATCCCCTGTGCCCCTCAGAACTAAATCGAAATAGAAGTTTTGATGACTCTGTTCTTAGCAAATTCCAGCACCACCTCCAGCTCACCGTTCTCAAGGCTCCTACACTTGAACCACTGCAAACTTGCTTGCCCAGGAATCATAGTTCAAAATTTCCCAGTCTCATCGCAGTGACAGAATTTTCTGAGCGGGGGACTTTCCTTGGCGTGAAAAGCAATGATAATGGGACATATTCAGTAGCTGGCGGTTTCTATAAAATGTGCTCAAACCTGCATGACAGGGCATCAGACACCCAGGGGAAGCTAACTTGAACTGCCATTCTTTCATGCATGAAACCTGAGACCACATTCCACTCAACTCCAGCCTGTAGTTAGAGATCTGAAGAAGAGCATGGCACATAAGATGCAATCCAGCTCTTGGCGGACAAAAGGAAAAAAATTTGGATCTGGAGAGATAGTACATCGTACTATCGTACTATGTATCATAAGGTACCATCATACTATCACAGGATAGGGTATTTGCTTTGCAAGTAGCCAACCTGTGTCCAATCTCTAGGACCTCATATGGTCCCCAAGCACCAACAGGAGTGATCTCTGAGTGCAGAGCCAGGAGTAATCCCTGAGTAGAGCCAGGAGGAAGCATCACAGGATGTG